TTCGAGGCGCATGTGTACGAGGGCTCGACAGGAGTTGTGGTTAACCTGACGGTCGACGACAGAGACGACCCGGCCACTGGGGCGTGGAGAGCTATTTACTCGATAATCAGCGGGGATCCTAAACACAGATTTGAGATCCAAACCAATCCAGACAATAATGAGGGAATGTTGTCTGTTGTCAAGGTAAAGCACCACATATAAGGTCCTCTTGCACCTTTAAACACACACACACACACACACACACAACAAGACTCAGTCTGGGAATCCCTTCTCCCCCTCAGCCTTTGGACTACGAGGCCACTTCCTTCCATTCGTTGCTAATCAGAGTAGAGAACGAAGATCCTTTGGTTCCTAACGCCGGTTATGGCCCCAGCTCCACGGCCACAGTCCAGGTCACGGTTGAGGACATCAACGAGGGGCCGGTGTTCCTCCCAGATCCTTTGTTTGTCACCAGGATGGAAAACATTCCCGTAGGCAGCTTTGTAGCTTCACTCAATGCTACGGATCCAGACATACTAGAGATGCAGAGCATCAGGTAAGATAAAAAAAACTTTTTTATTCACTCCTTTAGAGAATTCTCCCGTAAACCAGACGCTCGTATGTGACTTAAATGGTTACAGTCTATTACAGCAGAGCGTTGGTGCTTTCTGTTGGTGTGTGCCCTCGTCGTTCCAGCACCGGAGCTGTTCACCCCAGCCCGCTGAAAGACCCAGAGTCGTGCAACTCATAGGCATGAAGCAGAAAACAAACGACCATTCAGCCACCTTTACACGCTGTACTTGCACTTCACACGATGGGGAACTAACAGTTACATCTACTGGCTTTCAGACCTAATTCATCCCTGGTTTGTCTTGCATTCATGCTCTATGAACAGATAGTGTTGGGGAAACCTAAAAGACAACTATAGTTCAAGGAGAATCACAGACTTCCAGTGAAGGACTATTATTTAATTCATCACCTTGTCTGCTGTAGAAAACAGGAGATTTCAGCACAAATCGCTTCAACAGAGTCTCATAAGAACGCTGAAAAGCTTGACTGTCCCTTAAGTTGATGGTGGATGACTGAGATTAGCAGTTAGATCTTAAATGAGCATTTAAACATCGAAACATTGAATTACCTAAATACACACAATCCTGGTAAAATCCAATTCAATTTCAATGTATTTATAAAGCATCTCCTACGACCCTAGTGGAGGCTCAAGGTGCTGAACAGGACATAAAAACCAGAGTAGTAATAAAAACAACACATTGAATAAAAAGATAAATAAACAAATAAAAGCTATTAAAAACAAATGATAGAAGCCAGTGACAATGTTGGAATTTCTACGACCCACCATTAAAAGAATTTGGTTCGTAGTGAGTTTAGGTTTGTTTAGATTGAATTAATCAGAGATGTTAAGTTGGATTTAAGTCCGGGTTTTCATTAAATTATCACATAATTATTAATGTTTGACTCAATCAGCGTGTTTACTCGAGCATCTAGTGGGTCTAGAGTGACCTAAAGTAAAAGACCGGGACCCTTTATCCTAGCTTACACATACATTATAACCAGCTCAGTGGCCGAGTGGTAGAGTGTCCGCCCTGAGACTGGGAGATCAGGGTTCGATTCCTGGCCGGGTCATACCAAAGACTTTGAAAAAATGGGACCCAATGCCTCCCTGCTTGACACTCAGCATTAAGGGGTTGGATTGGGGGGTTTAAACCACCAAATGGTTCCCGAGCGTGGCCGTGTCTGCAGCTCACCGCTCCCCCAGGGGATGGGTCAAATGCGGAGAACAAATGTTGCACACACACCTGTGTGTGTGACAACTAATGGGACTTTAACTTTACTTTAACATTAGAAACCCAAACTCTGAAATTATGTTTGTTCCACTCCGGTACAGTAGGTGGCGACATGCGCCCTGTGATGTCTGCATTACTCCGGTTAGCTTATAGCAACACAAATACCAAACCAATGGTAGTGGGAGTGACGTAGATGGAGTAAACCTGGATATGTACAACGGCTGAAGGACTGGACAACAACGCTGCAGCAGACGATTCTTTACGCGCTGTACTGTTTGATGGTGTTACACGTGTTACACGTGTTACATATTCTCAGAAGACCGCTTCTGCTGTCTTGTCACTTTCATAAGTTCCTGGTATCAGCTCGACTGAGCCGTTTACATGCAGATGCATTATCTGGCACATGATTAGAACCAGTTTGGCTTGAGGAAGACTAACGCGTTTACGTGCATTTAAAAAAAACGATGTCAGTCTATTTTGGGCAACGGTCGGCTTTTCTGATGCGCCTGTAAACGCTCTGAATATCTGCAATGTAGCTAGAGGCAGCCATACAAACCCATATCATAACTGCTCCACCTCCATGCTAACAGAATTCTGAATTTGATCAACTTTTGAAACTCAAAGCATGCTGACATGTAGACTTTATACAGCCAATGATACTTTCATTTTTCCCTTTTTTATTTCATTTTGTAAAAATTATTTTGGTTTAATTTTTTTCAAATCCTGTTTCCTGGAGAACTAGATGAGAGATGACCTTATGACCCTTCTCTGATGGATGTTCAGCTGCTGACTTCATTGAGTTAAACATCTTTACTTCTATCAGATTGTGCTTGTTTATTTTTCTGCATGCTGGATTTGTTTTCAGTAAATAAATAACAACACAAGGCAACCAGCCATGTGTGCTTAATCTGGCCAGATGAGGACCACGTTTAAAACAAGCTACCAGAATTGAACAGTCAGATTTTTTTCAGATGTCAGGGCTCTTTCTAAAGCGGCTGGCTTTTTTAACCATTGCCACTCAATCCTTTTGATGCTCCAAAGTGTTGTTAAAGAATAAAAGTGTGCTGCTGATGTCACTGAAAAATGAAATGTAAAGACGGAGACCTCCAGAAATATTCCAAAACCTCATTCTAACATTCTTCATTCGAACACTGATTTTAAGTATCAGTCAGAGAGTAAATGGCCTAAAAGGTTTCCTTCAATACAAACAACCGTTTTTTGTACTTTCCATCCAACCTTTAACCGCTGCTGATCGTCCCGTCCGTCAGCAGCTGTAACCAGTCACCACATCCTGCTCCTTCACGAGTCCAGACGGGACAAACGTGTCTCCAGCTGCAGGACTTGACGGGCTCAGCTAGCTGCTTCTGTCCCGTTTCTCTCACCACGTACTGTATGGTGTGTGATAATTTTTATCTATATTGATGACTTAGTCTTCTCTGATTGGGCTTTTCACTAACCGTCTAATTTTATACCAAATGATTACATCTTAATCCCGTACATTTATAAACCTTTTGTTCATGATGCTTAGGATGAAACTAGGGCACAACCTGCTCATATCGGGGCTTCATCTGGGCCTAATGGGAATAATTAGATGATTGAAGAAACACAGACAGTTAATCAAGCCCAATAAAGTTTCCACAACTCAGCAGCTTCACCGGTTTAGGTAGAAGAAGTTTGGAGGAACACATCTCCTAAGGATACATAACCTGGACTGATGGGATTTGTGATGACAGGACGTTAGTTTCTAAGACTGGGATGCAGAATTACTCTGATTACTCTGATTACTCTAGGTGGTAGAGTGTCCACCCTGGTACTGAGAGGTCAGGGTTCAAATCCGGTCGGGTCATATCAAAGACTTTAAGAATTGGACCCAATACCTTCCTTCTTGACCCTCAACTTTCAGGGATTGGGTCGGGGGTAAAACACCAAATAGTTCCCAAGGTGCTCCTGACGGGAATGGGTCAAATGCATGGATGTACTTCACCAGTGAGTGATGACGACTGATGGGTCTTTCACTTTGGTTTTCTTGAAAATGACAGTTTAGTGATTAGAAGGCGAGTGACCTTTACTTAGTTTCTGTTTTTCTTAGTTGTGGACCTCATTTCCAGTGCCGTCCCATTCTCTGTTAGCTTTGTTTTGTCCTAAATTCACCAAACATGTCATCCAAATACCGTATTCCTTAAATAAGCTGTAACAACAAGCTCAGTTAAAACATGCATGAAGAAGAGCATTTAGATTTCTTCAGCTCAGTTTTGCTGCTTTATTATTGCAGATATACCAGTTCACTTGTTTAGACGATTGTTTGCATGGAAATAAGAAGGTGGGATAAACTACAAGGTGTGAAAATGTCCCTGTTAGTTACTAGAATAGCATCATGCTGTGAAGTAAGTTAACCGATTATTGTCCCAACGTGCCGATCAGATGTGTGGAGTTTCATTTTCACGGACATATATGTTGTGTGGCCTTTCCAGGGAAGTTGAAGCATCTAAAGTAACCCTCGGCCAATAGAATGAAGAATTCTCCTAATGATGTGTTAGTGATGGGCGTGGCATTTTCATAAAAGCAGATTTTTTATCTAAAATGTGGTTTTTCATCTGTTGTTGCCACAAGTGTTGGGTTAGAAAAGCTTTTCACTCACATGTGTAATGAATCCTTGCACAAGAAATTTAAATGTAAGAAGACAAAACCTGAAAATGTAAAAGGACTGAAGAGATCCCACTCTCCTCCTGGTTCCTCTTATCTTCAGCATGTATCTCTTCCCTTCATGGCCCCTGTGTTGGTTGTTGTTTCATCATTCTGACACGTTGGCAGTAACAGTGGCTTTGATGTGTCGTAACCAACACCTGCAGACAGGTTAAGGACGCTGTGAAGGAGAGCCGACTAAAATAGCAAAAACAAACAGGAAAGAGGTGAGAAACGTGCTCACTTACTTCTCTGTGTCCTTGTCTGCATAACTGTGTGTGTGTGTGTGTGTGTGTGTGTGTGTGTGTGTGTGTGTGTGTGTGTGTGTGTGTGTGTGTGTGTGTGTGTGCGCGCGCACGCGTGTGTGTGTGTGTGTGTGTGTGTGTGTGTGTGCGCACGCGTGTGTGTGTGTGTGTGTGTGTGTGTGTGTGTGTGTGCGCACGCGTGTGTGTGTGTGTGTGTGTGTGTGTGTGTGTGTGTGCATCTAGATGCATCTGCCCCCTGGGTTCAGCAGGTCAAATGCACTTGACATGGAACACAATCTGTCTGAGCCTCTAGTCAAAATCTATAGTACACACACACACACACACACACACACACACACACACACACACACACACACACACACACACAAACACACACACACACACAAACACACACACACACACACACACACACACACACACACACACACACACAAACACACACACACACACACACACACACACACACACACACACACACACAAACACACACACACACACACACACACACAAACACACACACACACACACACACACACACACACACACACACACGAACACACACACACACACACACGAACAAACAGTGTGTGCAGTCTGCATTTAGTTAGTTTTAAACGATGGAAATTTGTGTTTTCATTGCATTCATTTGATTTTTGTGCAAAGAAACAACAAAATTCGATTTAACAAAGAGCTGAGCTGTTTGCACTTTAGTGTCCTCCTGTGAGTCACAGTGACTGCAGAGGCTGGATGTGTTTTAAACCTGTGCAAGTCTCCTGTCTGAGGCCTCTGGGGCTGAAGCTTTACCC